ACATTTATTTAAGAATAGACAAATCATTCAACAATAACATTAACTTAAATATCAGTTTGACTCGGAGCTGAAAGAATTAAAGCTAAAAATTGGAGAGATTCGATGAGAAATAAAGAGAAGATTACGAGGAAAAGGTTTAGAAAAATCGATTATTCGAGAAAATTTACAGAAAATTGACTTTTTTAGAGTTCACTCGGTTATAGTTTTGATTCTGTTTTTGCTCTTTAAAGTAACAATGAGAAAGTAAAGTCCTAACAAAAAAAAAATTGATGTTAGTCACAACGGGATAAAGAGAATTTGCTGAAGGGTCACTCAACTTTAAACAAACAATCATCACCACCCATCTTGTAGAACACAAAAAAAAAGCGCTTCAAAGCAACCTGAGATCCGCGATAGCCAAAAATTGTACAAAAAATATGAAGTTAACCAATAAATCTTTTGAAAATATTCATTTAAAAAGCTACAGTCATTTTTTGCAAAAATCTTTTCACATTGAATTTTTGAATTGAATTTTTTTTCTAAAGTGCGCCCAGACTAGAGGTCTCTTCTCTAGAGCTGACTAGAGATCCCTTCTCTAGCGGAGTTCACTCTTCCACTGGGTTGGCCCATTCATGGCTTGAGGTTATTAAAGCAAGAAGCCTATCTTCTATCTATCTTCTTTTCTCCCCGCCTCCACATCGCCGAGTAAAATATCTCATCTTTCTCTATGTATTTATGTGTCGATTTGTGTATTGTCTGACTGATTACGCTTTATTTCATGTCCTGAATAAAGTATGAATATCAATATATTAAAATAACATACCTATATAAATGATGAGAATCGCGTAAACGAGCACAAAGGGAATCTCGACGAAATGCGTCTTTTCCAAGTGGGTCCACAGAAATTCGGCTACCTGAAAGGTGTCGGCAAATGGATTTGATTACCAAGCACAAGACTTGTTAGTCTAGATTTGTGAAATTATTGTAAGCTTCGATTAGTTTGCGTTTGAGTTTGGGTTATTTACTTCTAATGATAGATGTTAGTTTTTCGGAAAGAAATTTTTCTTGTTTTAAAGGTCTCACTGATTACGCTTTATTTCATGTCCTGAATAAAGTATGAATATAATATAAAAGATAACCAATAAATCTTTTGAAAATATTCATTTAAAAAGCTACAGTCATTTGCAAAAATCTTTTCACATTGAATTTTTGAATTGAATTTTTTTTCGAAAAAGTTTCATCAATTTTCTTTGATAAAATTCATGGCTATCTTTAAGATATTAATCGTTTTATTTACATAAATATATGTACAATTTATTTACACAAATCTCTATACAACACTTATTCATTGAGCCAAAAATCTATTTATCAAAGCATTCCTGAAAATCGTCGTGCAAAAGTCTTTTAACACAAAACGAAATTAAGCTATAATCAATATTTTGTCGGCCCTCTTTTTGCCAAAAAACTTCTTTAATACGAATAGGTTCGAGCAAATTGAAGGCGTTGCCTCCTGTGTTTGGCTGTCATCATAGACTTCAAAGCAGGTCTTTTAGTATACAATGCTGCTTGAAGCAAGCGTCGATGCAAGGTGCAAGCGGGAAATATTCTTGTTTGAATTTGCTTGAAAAGAATGGCTCCATGAATGGCTGTTCAACGTCAAATTCGGATCCTTCTTGAAAGCTCCCGTAAGGAATCGGTCTTCATTCTTTGTTGTAAACCTCGGTCGTCCCTTTTTCCTACATCTGTCCACATTTCCAGATGCATTCATTTTTGCCATAACAAGAGAAACTGTTTTGGGCGTACATCCTAAGAGGCGAGCAACGTCTTGCCTTGGCATTCCTTCCTTCCTTCCCTCGACGATCCTTTCTTTATCCGGAGTTGACAAGTACCCTTCTGGCATTTAAAAAAAATAAAATAATACCAGTAAATACGAAGCAAAAAAAAATAATAAAAATTTTTGCAAACAAAAGTTGATAATTTCAACGGGTCCACTTGTCCTCGTAATGTCAACAATGAATTCCCGCCAATATATTGAGATATTGGACAGATGTCTACTTCCATTTGCGACTGCTTCGATGAATCCAGAATGGTTTCTTTATCAAAATAATTCGCCAGTACACAAAAGCAAACTTTTGATGGACCGCGTTGTGACTCTTTCGAATGGAGAAAAAGTACATTTACCGGGATGGTTTGAAATCAATCGCGTTTCTTTAATCAAAGCTCCACCATTCTCACCGGATTCAAATGTTACTGAGAATATAGGCTTATTTGAAATCAAAATTGTGAGGGAAAGCGATTCAATTGTAAATTGGAGCTATGGTTTTATATCAGAAATTTTTGGAGGACGATTGGATCTGGAATTCTTGGTGAATTAATTCGATGCCTATTCGTATTAAAGAAGTTTGTGGCAAAGGAGAGCCGATAAAATATTGATTATAGCTTAATTTCGTTTTATGTTAAAAAGACTTTTGCACGACGATTTTCAGGAATTTTTGATAATTAGATTTTTGGCTCAATGAATAAGTGTTGTATAGCGATAGCGATAACGTTGTATGGCGATTTTTCTCAAGCAAGAAAAAGGAAAAAGGGACGACCGAGGTTTACAACAAAGAATGAAGACCGATTCCTTACGGGAGCTTTCAAGAAGGATCAGAATTTGACGTTGAACAGCCGTTCATGGAGCCATGCTTTTCAAGCAAACTTCAAACAAGAATATTTCCCGCTTACACCTTGCATCGACGCTTGCTTCAAGCAGCATTGTATACTAAAAGACCTGCTTTGAAGTCTATGATGACAGCCAAACACAGGAGGCAACGCCTTCAATTTGCTCGAACCTATTCATATTAAAGAAGTTTTTTGGCAAAAAGAGGGCCGAGAAAATATTGATTAAAGCTTAATTTCGTTTTATGTTAAAAAGACTTTTGCACCACGATTTTCAGGAATTTTTTGATAATTAGATTTTTGGGTTAATGAATAAGTGTTGTATAGAGATAAAGTTTGTGTAAATGAATTGTACATATATTTATGTAAATAAAGCTATTAATAGCTTAAAGATAACCATGAATTTTATCAAAGAAAAACGAATTTGAAAAGATTTTTGAACATGACTGTATTTAGAAAAGAAAAAAAAGCCCAAATTCATCGATTGACTTTCACAAAAATCTATGTGAATCAATAAAAGATAGAGCGCAAAAAAGTTAAGAACTAGCAAAAAGAATATAAGCCTAATTTTTAGAATAATTTGTTCAACCGATTTCTTTATAGTTTTTTTGGATTTGAATTTGCTTGAAAATTGATCTAAATTGTTTGAAAAGGTAGAAAAATGAATAATCAAGTCAGGAAAAGTCAAGAACAGCTAACAACAGCTTTCGCTTGGATTTTTCAGCGTCAACATGCCCATCAAAGCACATCTTTGAGTATCCTGGCCAGCACTGTCCCTTTTTCCGATTGTCGGATCTTGCGATTTTCGCATTTTTGCTCAATCTCTCATTGGCAACAGGCGCGGAAAGGCGGAAACGGACGAGAAAAGCATTTTTTATGTTTTCGACTGTTTTGAGAGTCTGGGAAAGGGATTTCTTTGACTTTTTAGCTCTTTTCTTCTTTCTTTTAGTCAAAAGCTGATGAGTGGCCGTGGAAAGGGACAAACATTTCATCTATAACACAATCACTTTTTCTTCATCACTCCTCCAACACTTCCCCTTCCTCACTCCTCCAACACTTTCCTTCATCACTCCTCCAACACTCTCCTTCCTCACTCCTCCAACACTTCCTTCATCCATCTACATTCACGTGTGTTCTTTCTATGCACGAAAAGCTTCTCTATGGCTGAGAATTGTGAATTGAACCCATTAAAGGTTCAATTTAAGGACTTTGAAACAAATCGCTTTTGAGGAATCAATGAACAAGTAACAAGTCGAAAAACAGCCACGCCAAAAAGTATTCATATTCAATTTTACAATTTCTTTCATATTCTCATTTTCTCTTTTGTTAATTTGCATTTATTTTTCCTTTTTTTGAAATGCTAGAAAGTTCGGATTTAACCAACCCAAATAAGGAAAAGATTGTTGAAGCCAAGGGAAAACGGAAAAATGCTGCTTTCTAAAAGAAAGTCTGAATTTGGCTTCTAAAATGGCTTCAAAAAATGGCTTCAAAATGGCTTCTAAATGACTTCAAGACTATTTTAAATCGAAATCAAAAATTTCCTGTCAATTGCTAGTAAAATAGGCAAAAGATATTGCAAATAGTCGAGACTATTTCAACCAAATTGCTCTTTGGTTAAATATTGTTAAAGAGAATAAATATTTTTATCGAATTCGGGGTTAAGACTTAGTTTAGAACGAAATAGTCTAAAAATTACACGGAAGAATGGGTTCAGGGTCAGCCTAGGCAGCCCAGGGTCAGCCCCAGACAGCCTAGCGTCAAGCCAGACAGCCCAGGATCAGCCCAGGCAGCCTAGGACCAGTCCAGGGTCAGCCCAGGATCAGCCTAGGGAGCCCAGGATTAGCCTAGGCAGCCCAGAATCGTGGCCTAGGAGCCCAGGATCAGCCTAGACAGCCTAGGGTCAAGTCGGGCAGCCCAGGGACAGCCAAGTGACCCAGGGTCAAGCCAGACAGCCCAGGGTCAAGCCAGGCAGCCCAGGATCAGCCCAGGCAGTCCAGGGTCAAGCCAGGCAGTCAAGATCAGGCACAAGCCGATGTATCTGGATCCTTAACGGAAATGCAACGAATGAGAATTTTAATGTTCCAGTATATGCTGTGCGCTCCAGGATCGACTTTGTAGAAATTTTTGATTCAACAAGTTGGAGTAATCGGTTAGAAATAGGCAGCAAGCAACTCGAATCTCTTTAGCAACATTGCAAAGCTTGGTTTACTCATCATTTGAATCTATTATTAAATGCTGTGCACTCCAGGATGATTCCTGACAAAGTTTCGAGTTTGGAATTGGAATTAGAATTTGAAATTGTTGTTTATTAAAAGATTTTCTTCAAAAAAACATAAAAATCAAGACTTTTCTCTTTTTCACTCGATTGTTTCCAAGTGGCCGAAGTCGAATGAGCTGAATTTTGCATTTATTCTTCAATTTCCATACAAACTAATTTATTCTTTTTTACTAAAAAAAATACACGCATCGTTTTAAAGACATTTCAAGTGACACCCCAAAAAAATCAAAATTTCAATCGTTTTTTGATTATTTTTTTGATAAATGAGCGATCTGGACAAATACAGAACAAGCTTAAGACAAAAGAAATGCAAATTCTCAGACAAAAAAAAATTCGCCCATAGGCACTTGCGGAGTTTTTCGAGTAGCTAATATACAGAAAATTGTCATTTTACGAAAAAATTCAACGACCAATCGACAGCGTGCCTGCCAGGATCGGGGAAAAACGAAAAAGAAACGGCAAACGACACTCCGTGACGTTTACTTGGCGGCCATCGGCTGTCGAACGACGCTCGTCGTTGTTACAACGGTTTGCGCCATCTGAAAGCGGACTTTATGAATTTTTGGGCAAGCTGGATAGCACACTAGTTAATGGTAGCAAAAACTTTGGCAAGTTTTCAGATTTTTGAAGTCAACTCTTGGTGACGTAGCTGGGCGGTTTTCTAGGGCTGAAATCGACCGGGAAAGTTTCCGTCAAATTTGAGGGCTATGGCTGTCACAATATTGATTGGATTTAAAAACTTGATGGTTTTCAAAATTTCTGGAGACAACTCTTTGGCGACGTAGCTGGGCGGTTTTCTAGCGCTAAGATCGACCGGGAAAGTTTTTTGCATCAAATTTGAGGGATTTGGCTGTCACAATCTTGATTAGATTTTAAAAATTTGATTGTTTTCGAAATTTTTGGATTCAACTCTTTGGTGACGTAGCTGGAGTGGTTTTCTAGCGATGAAATCGCCCGGGAAAGTTTTTTGGTCAAATTTGTGGGCTATGGCTGTCCCAATATTGATTAGAATTTTAAAATTTGATAGTTTTCAAAATTTCTGGAGACAACGCTTTGTGACGTAGCTGGGCGGTTTTCTAGGCCTGAAATCGACTGGCAAAGTTTTGTCAAATTTGAGAGCCATGGCTGTCACAATATTGATTGGATTTAAAAAATTTGATAGTTTTCAAAATTTCGCACCTCTTGTTGAGCGGTCGTTGGCTCTTGTTGGGTTTCGACGATCGGCGATCGGATGGGCACCACTGAAATCTTTGGATTCATCAAAGTTTCACCAAAAATCCTTCAAATTCAGGGTTAATCGGGTAAATCGAGCGTTAGATTGAGCGAAAAATAATGCCGAAAAAAGTACTGCAAAAGTTTTCTTTTCAACTTTCCGCTTTGATTTCTTTCGAGTGCTTTTAAACTAGGATTTTTCAAACTTTCACGAAAAATCATTTGTATTTTGGTGGGTTCTGAATGTATAAAAGAAAATTGTTCAATGAATTTGATCAATTTTCGAAAAGTAAAATATTGGGTAAATGAACCGAAATGAGTTCAGAGGAAAACTGGGAATTTTCAGCGGTGACTAGAGAGTTTTTTCACGGAATCTCAAAAGCTGGGAACGCACTTCACTGTACCATCGCATTAGGAATTGAGAAAAAAGACAAAACCAACGAGTGTACTGTGGCGCTGGGGCGGCCATGAGACGTTTTGGACGTGCGTCTTGCTGACGGGCAGGGTTTTGTGAATCGACTCGACGGCTTCCCTTCGCGATCCTCGGTCTCTGGTGGAGGCCAGACGACCGGACCGAGTTGGGTGCGATCTGAATGGAAATCGATAGAGGTGGACATGCTGGGGTGGAGAGGTGGATCAACTACATGCTGAGAAGGTTTCTCTTTTTTATTCACAGCCTCCAAAGTACTTGAATTATGCTGTGACATCCATAGTTTATAGTCCGATCATTTTAGATTCATTGAGTAAATTGTTGAGCTACAACACCAGGTGGTTTAGTTACGCAATTTTGACAGATTTCTTAATTAGATGAATTTCAAGGATATTGAACGCGCAAAAAGGTGATGTGACTTCCATAATGGATGATGCTGAAGTTTGGAGCTCATAGACTAACCCTGGAGTAGTGATCTTGCTTGGTTTAGTTACGTTATTATGAGAAAATCTTCAATTAATGAATTTTAAGGATTTTAAACACTAAAAAGATGCTGTGACCTCCATAATGGATGATGCTGAAGTTTGGAGCTCTATGACTAACCCTGGAGTAATGATCTTGCTCGGTTTAGTTACGTAATTTTGACAAAATCAAAATCAAAATCAAAATGAATTCCAACGATTTTAAACACTAAAAAGATGCAGTGACCTCCATAACTCATAATGTTAAAGTTTGGAGCTCATAGACTAATCTTAAAGACATTTATTTAGCCCGGTTGAATTACCCAAGCTCAATTCTTGAAAATCTTGAATTCAACCTTAAACTCAACCACTTATTTTCCTTTTAAACTCAATCAGAAATCTTTTCTCATTTCTTTGCTTACCAGCATGCGCTTTGGTGAGCTCGTCCCTCGGGCGGTGGCCAGGCGCGGTTGATTCGCGTGGTGCGAGGAGCAAATCGGAGTACCTCGTGTTGTTCCTGGAAATTCGTGATGTTCCAATTGTTTCAGTTTAATTATCCCGCGATCTGGATATCACAGAAAGTATTGTGCATTCGAGAATCAGCTTTTTCCCACCTGTTGAATCCACGCCAAGTCGTCGCCGGTTTTCACTCGAGTGATTGCGCCGCTAAAAATTGAGAAATGTTCAAAAATTTTCTTTTTTTTTGCCGAATCTGGATGTCAGTATAGAAGCTTTTAAAAAAATTGAGAAAAATTCGGAATTTCTAAGAAATCGTCATTTAAACCGACGTTTCTCTCTGAATTCGTCTTGTGGTGGTGGCCAAACGGCAGTCACTTTTCCCGGATTGTAATTCGTTCGCAATACCTCCATTTCTTCCTGTAAATTGAAAGGGTTTTTTTTCTGAGAAAATTGTTTATTTCAAAGTTTCTATTCAAGAATTCTCTAAAATTCGCTGAAAAATTTGCTCGACACGAGATTTTCGTCAGAATAAGTTGTTGCCTGATTTTTTAAAAAACGAAAAATCCCATCTGGATATCACGCTTCAAAAATCAGGAGCTTAAAACTCAAAAAGTAAGAGAAAAAATTTCATGCCCCCATGGCGCAGTGGGTTTTTCTAGCCACTCGAGTCAAGACTTCGAGTCAAAACGACCCGGGTTCGATCCCGGGTGCTGCCGGTAATTTTTTCCTTTTATTTTAATGAAGAAATTTTGAAGGGAAAGTTGTTTAAAACAATTTTAAAGGCTCAAAAACAGTTATAACTTTGACAAAAGTTCGTGAAATTTTTCAAAATTTGAAATTTCAAAACAGCCGATTTTGATGGGTTTCCGGGTCGAAAACATCTAATTTTTTATAAGAAAAGTGTTGTTTTTAAACAAATTTCCTGTTAATTATAGAAAAATCGGTTTCTTGACCATTTTTCGTCATTTCTTGACTTCGAAATCACAAAAGCTCAAAATTGGAAGTTGGGTAAATGAGCTGGTTAGATTTTAGAGAAAACGACACCAATTCAAAAGTTTTAAACAAATTCAAGGCTCAAGCTGGAACGCACAGAAAAGATTGGGGCAAAGATTTCGGCAAACCCTCGACTTTTGGCTCCGGCTCAATTACCCAAGCGGTGAAGCTGGAAGAATTTTTCGCCTCAAAAACCCTCAAAACGTTTTTTCGAGCTTCATGACATCCAGGATCTTCAAAAGAGGAAAATTTCCTGCCCCCATGGCGCAGTGGGTTTTTGGTCCAGCCGTTCGAGTCAAGCCTTCGAGTCAAAACGACCCGGGTTCGATCCCGGTGCTGCCGGTAATTTTTCTTTTATTGTAATGAAGAAATTTTGAAGAGAAAGTTGCTTGAAGCAATTGTAAAGGCTCAAAAATAGTTGTAAAATTGACGAAAATTGACGCCAATTTTCGTCGCTAATCGTCAATTCTAAATCATTTTTTATGAAGGATAAATGGCGTGTTTTTTTTCGAAAAACATTTGAATCATCTAATATGAAAAGGAAAAATTGGATAAAGCTATAAAAAGAAACTCTTAAATTTGTTATTTTTGATTTTTTGATGAAATCCCATTTCCGGTCTTCGCCATAAAAGAAAATTAAAAAAACGTCCAAGATCTTTCAAGGAAATTTTAAAATGGAAATCAAACCGAATTCCGACGTTTCTAAGTCAACTGACATCCAGAAATGGTAAAAATTGAGGAATTTCCGGCTTTTAAAAAGCCTAGAAACCCGGAAACGCTGGCAGAGTCGAAACTTCGTAAACACATTTGGCGTAAATCTATGCAAAAATGCTAATTTCACGATATTTACCCAAAATGATATCCAGGAAAAGTAAATATTAAAGAATTTTTGTCTTTTTATTACTTCAAAAACCCGGAATTGCCCCCAGCTACCGAATCCATAAATAGTCGCATCTCAAAAATACACAAAGTGCCCACATTAGTATTTATCTAGTGTGACATCCAGAAATGGTAAAAATTGAGGAAATTCCGGCTTTTAAAAGCCTGGAAACCCGGAAACGTCGCAGAGTCGAAACTTCGTAAACACATTTGGAGCAAATCCATGCAAAAATGCTCATTCCCACGATATTTACCCAAAATGATATCCAGGGAAACGCAAATATTAAAGAATTTTTCATTTTTATTACTTCCAAAAACCCGGAATTGCCCCCAGCTACCGAATTCATAAATAGTCGCATCCCTCAAAAATACCCAAAGTGCCCGCATTTATTCGTATTTATCTAGTGTGACATCCAGGATTGATGAAAAAATTTATTAAAACTTTTCCTTTACGAGAAAAAAACCCGAAATATGCAGAGAGATTCGAAAGCAGAGAAATTCGTGAAAAAACAAGTATGACTAATTACGTGATTTGAAAAGGAAATGTTTTTGCGTTGAACAAATTTCCGCCCAAATCCCTAGGAAACACTTTTTTCTGCTCAGATCGAACTAATTTTATGCCTTTTACGGGAAATCTCTTGAAAAAGTCGATTTTTGGAGGTTTTGCGAGGCAGCGATTTATGCTCGACACGAGATTTTCGTCAGAATAAGTTGTTGCCTGATTTTTTAAAAAACGAAAAACCTTCCTGTAAATTGAAAGGGTTGAGAAAAATTGTTTATTTCAGAAGTTTCTATTCAAGAGTCTCTCTAAAATTCACTGAACAATTTGCTCGACACGAGACTTTCGTCGGAATAAGTTGTTGCCTGATTTTTTAAAAAACGAAAATCCCATCTGGATATCACGCTCAATCAGAGCTTAAAACTCAAAAAAGTAAGAGGAAAAATTTCCTGCCGCATGGCGCAGTGGGTTTTTCTAGCCACTGAGTCAAGCCTTCGAGTCAAAACGACCCAGGTTCGATCCCGGGTGCTGCCGGTAATTTTTTTCTTTTTATTGTAATGAAGAAATTTTGAAGAGAAAGTTGCTTAAAACAATTGTAAAGGCTCAAAAAACAGTTATAACTTTGACAAAAGTTCGTGAAATTTTTCAAAATTTGAAATTTCAAAACAGACAATTTTGATGGGTTTCCGGGTCGAAAACATCCAATTTTTTATAAGAAAAGTGTTGTTTTTAAACAAATTTCCTGTTAATTATAGAAAAATCGGTTTCTTGACCATTTTCGTCATTTCTTGACTTCGAAAACACAAAAAGCTCAAAATTGGAAGTTGGGTAAATGAGCTGGTTAGATTTTAGAGAAAAACGACACCAATTCAAAAGTTTTAAACAAATTCAAGGCTCAAGCTGGAACGCACAGAAAAGATTGGGGCAAAGATTTCGGCAAACCCTCCCCTTTGGCTCCGGCTCAATTACCCAAGTGGTGAAGCTGGAAGAATTTTTCGCCTCAAAACCCTCAAAACGTTTTTTTCGAGCTTCATGACATCCAGGATCTTCAAAAAGTTTCAATCAGAGCCCCAATTTTTCAGATAATTTCTTGAAAAGGTTACTTCATGTAAAATGCAATTCGGGGGTGAAAATCGAGAAATTTTGGGCGAAGGGGGCTTTTGCGGGGGCCGGGAGCTCTTTAAGGGTCTTTAAGAGTTCCCGGCCCCAAGAAAAAGAATTGACCAAATAAATTGTTGTCTTTTTCTCTGTTGGGAACGCTTTTTCTTTGAATTTTGAAGTGAATGGCAGACATTTTTAGAGAAGAATAGCTCAAAAAATCATTGAGAAAACTTGTGTTTTCCTTTTTCCATAGCTCCAGCTTGCTCGTTTCTGCTAAACACGATCTGATTAAACAAAATATAATCCTACAATATAATTCTACAATACAATCCTACAATACAATTATTTTAAAGCTTTCTAGATCTGTTTTTACTTTAAAAAAGAAATTAAAAAGAAAATCAACAACTTTTTCTCGAAAAAATGACGATTGATGACGAGGATGATCTTTGAAAAAAAGTTTTTTTTACTGCTTTGATGAAAAATTAAACGAGTAAAGCGGGAAATGGCAGTGAGCAATACATAAATGATAAGGGAAAGAAGATGAAAACATTTCATTTCGAAAAAAAGATGTTCCTCTTTGCGAAAACAAAGATGTTTACTGAAAATTCGACAAAAATTCGACAAATTTTGAGCGCTCAGCGATCATGAAGTCGAAAAGTTGTAAAATCGCAATTTTTTTTGATGACATTGCCTAGTGTGCTCCAGATTGGCGGGCTCTCGATAAGTGAAATCTCGGAAAACCCCTTGATATTCGAGAAAAGTGGCCGCATTCTGAGCGCTGAGTGATCATCGAGTTAAAATGTTGCAAAACCGCAAATCTTTTTGATAATCTTGCCTAGTGTGCTCTAAATTGGCGGGCTCGATAAGTGAAATCTTGGAAAACCCCTTGATATTCGAGAAAAGCGGCTGCATTCTGGAGAGCTCAGCAATCGCCGAGTTGAAAAGTTGCAAAGCCGCAAATTTTCTTCGATAACCTTGCCTAGTGTGCTCCAGATTGGCAGGTTTGAAAAGTGGAATCTCAGCAAATGCTTTACTTTTCGAGAAAAGCGACTACACTCTGAGCGCTCAGCGATCGTCGAGTTGAAAAGTTGTAAATTTCCAAAAAACTCTTGAACTCATTTATAGAATGCGTTCCAGCTTGGTGAATTTCCAAAGATCAAATCCCCAGAGGGAATCTGGTCTTCGAGGAAAATGGCTGTACTCGCAAGAAGTTTGAAGCGGGTTCAATTTTTGAACTTTCCTGAGGTTCATTGCGTGATCTCCGGCTTTTTACAGCTTATCACTTGTTATTGGGGGGAATTTTTTCCCTCCCTTCGCTGCTTAACGAGTCATAAAATGTTGTTGAAAGGGTTTTGATTTGCCGAAAATCGAAGAAAGGGGTGAAATCGTTCACTTAGCTCTGAAAAGTCAAAGAATCAAGAAATCCAAAAATTTCATTTGAATTTTATTTTAATTTTCGAGTGATCTGGAGTGCACAGAAGAGAAAAAATTATTTGTTTTCAATTTCGAAAGATTTTTCTTTAATCATTTGGTTTTAGTGGGGGAGTTTTAGGGTTTTTATCGAAAATTTTATTGATTTTTAAAAAGCTGGACAAATAAATAAACCAATCTGGAGAACAATCCGAAGATTAAAAAGTGATTTTTAAAAAAATTTTGGTTTTTGGTTAAATGCAAATTTGAATGTAAATTTGAATGTAAATTTGAATGTAAATTTAAATGCAAATTTAAATGCAAATTTAAATGCAAATTTAAATGTAAATTTGAATGTAAATTTGAATGTATTAGGTTGATGCTAAAGCCCTTTTCATTTTTTTCGTACTTCTTTTGAAAAATAACAAAGCTATCAATTAACCTATGGTTTGCTCTAAATGAAAAGAGTCTATTGTTCAATTCCCCATCTTTTTAAGCCACTCTCGGTTCACTTTCAAGCAAATTCGAGAGGAAAACGGGTTTTTCATAAAAATCTATAAAATCCTCTATAAAGAAATTGGCTGAATCAATTTCTCTGAAAATTTGGCAAGTATACCTCACTCCTTGTGCTCTATCTTTTATTTATTAACATCAAGATTGGTTTCCTTAGCTAAAGCGCCCATAATGCATCATCGAGCCGTCGCTCTTTTTGACTACCCGACTCAGGCTCTCAAAAGAATCTGGACATAAGACATTTTAAACTCGTTTTAATGTCATTTTGCAGAAAAATAATTGGCCTTTCGAATGACAATAAACACGTTGTTCAATTGGTGCATTTGTTATTTTTTTAACGGAAGTACGAAAAATGAAAAAGATTTTTGCATCAACCTAATAAATTTAAATGCAAATTTAATGCAAATTTTAAATGTTCTAAATTTGAATGCAAATTTGAATGCAAATTGGATCTAAATTTGAATGCAAATTTGAATGGAAATTTGGAATGTAAATTCTGAGTGCAAATTGGATGCAAATCCGAATGCAAATTGGATGTACAAATTTAAATGTAAATTTGAATGTAAATTTGAATGTAGATCTGATTCAAATTTGAATGCAAATTTTGATGCAAATTGGATGCAAATTTGAATGGAAATTTAAATTTAAAAATTCAAAAATAATTTCTTCTTTTCTACTTGAAAATATTTAAAATTCATCAAAAAAACATTCTATTTCTTATTTTTCCTTCTTCTTTTCTTCTTTTCTTTCTTTTTTTTTCTTTTTTGCATTTTCTCCTGAAGATTTCCTTTTCTTGGGCTTCTATTTTTAAAAATCGAAAAGCGTTCAGCTAAAAAAACAACGGCTTTTTTACTTGTGAATTTGATGTTGATTCGTTGCGTTGATGATAAAATTTTACGGTTTCCAAGCTTCTGCAGAAGCTCAACACTCAAATCCCCCACTAGATCTCGTCGTCAGCTATATTTCCTTGCGACCCTACATCGATAGATTCTGATAAGTGGTTCTCGAGATTCCGAGGAATTTAGGCAACGCTCACGCTGCGCTACACCAGGGGAGAAAATACGGGAAAATACAATTCCTGTTTTTCAGAAATCCGTTTTCCGGTATTAAGCTAGCGTGGAAAATAATGCGAATTTATTAACTGAAGCTTTTGGGAAAGTAATGGCAGGCAGATAAACAAAGAAACCGCGATGGTCACAGAGAAGGAGAGTTTCTTTGCTACACAATCATCATTACTCGAAAACATTGGTTCCTTTGTTATCAAAAAAATGAGGGAATAAAAATTGCTTATTCGAGCTGCTTTACTCTTTACTTCGAGCTGCTTTAAGCTTGGAAAATCTGTCCGAGAATCGCATAATTCAATTTCTATTCTATTTCTATTCTATTTCTATTCTATTTCTATTCTATTTCTATTCTATTTCTATTCTACTCAGAGTGTGGCCGCTTTTCCCGAAGATCAAGGGGTTTTCCAAGATTCCACTTATCGAGCCCGCCAATCTGGAGCACACTAGGCAAGATTATAAAATAAAGTTAGCGGTTTTGCAACATCTTAACTCGATGATCACTCAGCGGTCAGAGTGTGGTCGCTTTTCTCGAAGATCAAGGGGTTTTCCAAGATTCCACTTATCGAGCCCACCAATCTGGAGCACACTAGGCAAGATTATCAAAAAAGATTTGCGGCTTTGCAAACTTTTCAACTCCATGATCGCTGAGCACTCAGAATTTCTATGCTTTTTCTATTCTATTCTATTCGATTTCAATTCTATTTCTATTCTATTTCTATTTCAATTCTATTTCTATTTCTATTCTATTTCTATTCTATTTCAAAAGCCTATGGCGAAGGGAATATTAGCGAAAGTCAATGTCAATGTCAATGTTATCAATGAAAATTTTGTCGCTAACGGGATTCGAACCAGCGACCCACAGATTCTTAAGAATTTCGAGCAAAGATTGAGAGAAAATGAGCAAATTTATGTTGAGGATAAAACTTTTGTGCTTTGTAATTTGTAGTATCGGAATTTGTAGCTGAATTCATAGACGATTTTTCTTTAAAATTGTCATGAGTACAATTTGATTTACATTATGCTACGACAAAAAAAAATTGTCTTCGCCTCTTTTTTGCAAATGTTTTCGATGCTGGCAAAGCATCGAATTGTGCAATTGTCTTTGCAATTGAAGTCGGCAATTGAGTCGACAATTGAAGCTATTTTTTTGCTGTCCTCTCCATTTTAAAGCCCTGCTTTCGTTTAAACGCTTTTCGAATTGAGTAGTTCGTTCGCAGACGTATCCGATCTGAGTCGTCGAACCTAATTGAATTCCAGAGTTTCTAGATGAACTGATAGGTGCCCCATAATATTGAGAGCCGATAGGAAAATGGGGAATCGAATCATCTAGAGGAATCGGATCATCTGGAGATGGGGAATCAGATCATCTGGAGGAATCGGATCATTTAGAGGAATCGGATCATCTGGAGGAATCGGATCATCTGGAGACGGGGAATCGAAGCATCTGGAGGAATCGGATCATCTAGAGGAATCGGATCATCTAGAGGAATCGGATCATCTGCAGATGGGGAATCGGATCTGGAGGTGGTTGCCGTTGACGAACAATGGGTGGATGACTAACAAATTCGTTCAATTCGTTTTTCCACCTTTTACCTTGTGGATTTTGTTTTGTTTTTGTTCTTGTGAAGTCATAAAGGGGGCAATGATCGTTTTTCGCTACGAGATTCGAACCCTGGCTTCAATTTTGCGTTTTGAGGAAGGAAAATGATACTATCGTCACCCAGGCAGAGCTGGAAAGATCAGGGGAAAGTGGAATTTCCAGTTCGTTTTTTCGTTTCCAGTTTTCCCCACCATTCTAGATGTATCAATTTAGCCCTTTCAACTATTTTTTATTCATAAATGCCACCTGACTAATGACTTCTTTCTTTATGACTAAAAAGAGGGCGCAAAAATGGAGTGGAGAGTAAAAGTGAAAGATTTTCGTCATAGAAAAAAGGATAAAAACTCATTTACCTGATTGACGGGTTTCCATTCTTGAGCTTTGACACGAGGCGCTGGCACTTTGTCTTTCTGGAAAATTTCCTTTAAATTTTGAACTTTTTAACATTTCTACCGGCGAATTGTCCTCGGGAAACTCGTTCCAAACGATTTTCTGAAAGCCCACCGGTTTCGCGACGATCGTTTTCTAGAAATTTTTTTAGTTTCAAGAGTTTCATTGTTTTCAAGAGTTTTCATTGTACCACATTTTGACAGTTACATTTTCAAACATTCACAATTTTATTTTGAGCGTAAAGTAGCTTAGTTGTTAACTGTTTTATAAATGATTTATTGGAAATAAAAGTTAAAGATTGATAAAGATTAAAATTAAAGATTAAAATTATAAATTAAAATCAACAAATTAAGTCATTAAATAGCTCTAAATTTTCTCTTAAAAACTTGGATAAAATTCGAGTAAAAAGCCATTAAAAACTCTAGTTGAGATTTAAAATAATTGTTATTAGGGGTGGGTGGGTGAAATTGTCGTGAATGTGTCAAAAAGAACAGATCATAATCATCACAGACCAGGCAGCCCAGGGTCAAGCCAGGCAGTCCAGGGTCAAGCCAGGCAGTCCAGGATCAGACCAGGCAGTTCAGGGTCAAGCCAGGCAGCCCAGGATCAGACCAGGCAGTTCAGGGTCAGACCAGGCAGTCCAGGATCAGACCAGGCAGTCCAGGGTCAAGCCAGGCAGTCCAGGATCAGACCAGGCAGTCCAGGGTCAAGCCAGGCAGTCCAGGATCAGACCAGGCAGTTCAGGGTCAAGCCAGACAGCCCAGGATCAGACGAGGCAGTCCAGGATCAGACCAGGCAGTCCAGGATCAGCCCAGGCAGCCTAGCGTCAAGCCAGGCAGTCCAGGGTCAAGCCAGGCAGACCAGGATCAGCCCAGGCAGCCCAGAATCAACCCAGGCAGTCCAGGGTCAAGCCAGGCAGCCCAGGATCGCAAAAGGCCGACCAGCCAAAAGCCAAATCGACTTTGAACTGATCTGAATATTAAATTTCTACGCCCAAAACTCTGGCTAGCTAAAGGCTGACAAAAGTCGAAGTGCTATCCATGTTGATCGAAAAAGCACTCCTCGATCCACCCCGACCCTTCCCTTGACCCGCAGAGCCCCAGTCCCGATGTCTTAACTCTGACACCTGGCCCTCATTTCTCGAAATTGAGCTAAGCATTCAATTTTTGCGCCCAAAACTTTTAGTGCACTCCAGGATGCATGGAAAGACGACTGAAGTCATTTCTTTCTTGTCAGACTAATGGGATTACGCGACTAACTCGATTTGCGGTCTCTCAAATTTTCAAATCAAATTTTTCCCTGCGTTGACCTTGTTTTTGGCACGTGTGCTTTCCAGACCGAGCAGTTTTGAGATCAAAAAGAAATTCTCGAAATTCCGGTCGAGAATCGGGGCACCAACCTTATCACCGACCAGTACTAGAGCTGGCTTACAGGCTCTTGCCTGTTCCAAAGCCAACAGCCACTAATATTTAACCTAGCGTACAGATCCTAGGCTTGCGAATCCCAAGTGTTGTCATTCATTCCATCATCTCACCTGCACTTCGTGCTCATCGTTGAACTCGGGAATCGCGACTTTCCCCACGGCGGGCACATCGATCTCCGGTGCGATGCGATGCTGCGTTTGCCAGCAGGCATCATCCTAGAATTTATGAATTTATTGATATTTTATTGATATTTTACCAATTGATTTTCAATTTCTATACAGATTTTAATTATAATATGCTTACAAATTAGGGAAATATTACTTTTCAAAGAGAATTCGAAAGTAGCCCTTTTCAATCATCAAAATACCAGCTTAACCCATTCGAAACCGCAGCGTTTTTTCTTTTTTTTCGTCTGCGGACCAAGCCGAACATTTTTTCGCTGTAGCGGTCCGTCCCTGAGCTTTTGCTGCAGCGATTATTCGCTGTAGCGGTCCGTTCCTGAGTTTTTGCTGCAGCGATTATTCGCTGCAGAAGTTTCGAATGGGTTAAGTAAGGAATGGTTTTTCAGAAAAAAAAAACACATAGCATATTCGGTTTTTACTTCATAAACTGCTAAAGTGATAAAGTTTTTGCCTCTAAAATTTTCATAAAAATAAACCTGAAGCCGAATGCCGGCCGGCCCACGTTCGAGTGTCATGTCCGGTTGGGTTTCCCTGAATTTTTAAAAAAAAAAATGCATTTATTGAAAGCCAATAATGTGATACAAACAAAGGATACATAATAAGACATAACGGTCTAAATACACAATTTTTATGGCACTGCGGCCGTTACCCCTATTATCCCTATTACCCAAATGTTGTGAAAGAAAAAACCCACTTGGTGGGAAAAAGAAACATTTTTATCTTGCCAGCGTGATTGAACCCTCGACCTTCCGCTTAAAAGACAAGACTTCTAACCGGTCGGCCATCTGGCCTCAATTTCAATTGAAAAAAACTCTCAACTGATATCCATCTTTGATAAAAATACATCTTAAATGCAAATCTTTAAAAAATTAATGCCATTTTTCAAGAACAAAAGTTAAATTCGAATTCGAAAACGTTAAAAAGTAAAGCCGGAAGCTTTTCATCGCTTCGTTTTTATCAATGACCTTTCGGAAATCGAAATTTCCGAGAAAAGGGAAAGGAAGTCGAATCGAAATGCGAAAAGTGGCAATCGAGTCGAGTGGCAATCGAGCAATGAGAAAGGGAGAGGCTGTGATTTGAACGGGCGACAATTGGAGATTGGAGAGCAAAGGCGGTCGACGTGTTAGCCATGTTGATCGAAAAAGCCCTTTTCGACTCACCCAAAACCCTCCCCTTGACCCACACAGCCCCGGTCCCGATGTCTCAACTCTGACACCTGGACCTCATTTCTCGAAATTCGACTAAGCATTCAATTTTTGCGCTCAAAACTTTTAGTGCACTCCAGGATGAATGAAAACAAGACTGGAGTCACTTGCTTCTTGTCAGACTAATGAGATTTGGCGACTAACTCGATTTGCGGTCTCTCGAATTTTCAAATCAAACTTTTCCCTGCGTTGACCTTGTTTTTAGCATGTGTGTCTTCCAGAACGAGCAGTTTTAAGATAAAAAAAAAGATTCTCGAAATTCCGGTCGAGAATCGAGGCACCAACCTCACCACCGACTCCTGCTCCCACTTCTGAGCGCCGACCAAAATACCGCCGCGAGCCACGCGCTGCTTCTCGGGCAGGGATTCTTCTCTGAAATTTGTAAACTTTCAAATTTAAAACAACAATCAAATTTAACGGACTACTGTAGCTGATTCCGGTTTCCACCTATTTACACTCAAAATTTGCATACGGAAATTAGCAAAAGTCGGAAATTTTAAATTGGATAATTTGGCTAATTTTCTTTGCCAGGCTACGCAGTGCGTTCCAGAACAGCTGAAAATTTAATTTTTAGCTTATAAACGTTATCAGATGGCTTTAAAAATGCTTGATCGACTGACGTTCGTCAACTGAATATCTTAAAGGTTTTTTTGTAATTGGAATTGAATAAATTTCTTTGCTAGGCTATCCAGTGCGTTCCAGAATAGCTAAAAATTTAATTTTTAGCTGATAAACTTTATCAAGTGGCTTAAAAAGTGCTTGATCGATCTTGATCGATCACTCGTCCGTTAACTGAATATCTCAAAAGCCTTTTGTTTTCCCCAGCCAACTGTTCCTTTAAGGCCTCATCAATAACGACACTCAGATGAAAGAAATCACGAAAAAAAAACAATGCTATGGATAACAATAGGCCGAAATATTGGACTAACCTACTGATTGACTGAATATCTTTTAGCTATAGTTCTTTTAGTCATTTAGATGGATTACGGTAGTCAAAAGGTCTATATATCTATTTGGTTTCAATTTTTGTGTAAAACCCGACTTCTCAACGAAACGCTTCTCGACATCGGTCTGCTTGACGGTCGGGCGTTGAGCGTTCACGCCTGAAAATTTCATTTTAAAGCAAACAACTTTCTAAGCGTTTCAAATTTCGTCCTGATATCCAGCTTTTCGTTTTCGGTTAGAATTTTGAGCAAACTATCACAAAAACCCAACCAGCTAGCGCGGCGGTGTGCACCGGGTGGAGTGGCGCATCGGACATCGATGACTCTTGAGCCTGAAATGTTTTTATTTTGCTATTGTGCCCTCCAGATTGTCGGATTTTGTGAAATCGATCGAAGTTCATCGTGTCCAAAGCAACATTGGAACCGTATTGGAACCGTATTGGAACCGTAATGGAACCGTATGGGAATCGTATTGGAACTGTATTGGAACTGTATTGGAACTGTATTGGAACTGTATTGGAACTGTATTGGAACCGTAATGGAACCGTATTGGAACCGTGTAGGAACCGTATTGGAACGGTATTGGAACGGTATTGGAACGGTATTAGAACCGTATTGGAACGGTATTGGAACGGTATTAGAACCGTATTGGAACCGTATTGGAACCGTATTGGAACCGTATTGGAACTGTATTGGAACCGTATTGGAACCGTATGGGAGCCGTATTGGAACCGTGTAGGAACCGGATTGGAACGGTATTAGAACCGTATTGGAACCGTATTGGAACCGTGTAGGAACCGTAATGGAACCGTATTGAAACCGCATTGGAACCGTGTAGGAACCGGATTAGAACGGTATTAGAACCGTATTGGAACCGTATTGGAACCGTATTGGAACTGTATTGGAACCGTATTGGAACCGATTTTATTTCGCTATTGTGCCCTCCAGATTGTCGGATTTTGTGAAATTTAGCGTAAATTTTCATCAAAATCTTCAAAATTTAAGGGTAAACTCGTTACGGGGAAAACTTCTTCGAAAAATTTCGGAAGAATCGTTTCAAAATTTGCATTTATATTTTCATGTGCACTCCAGCTTTCCGAGCTACGGTGAAATTGATTAAAAATCTTTAAAAGTAGTCAAGATTTATGGGTTTACTTTTTCGAGCTTGCTTTTATGATCCTTAGCGTTTTTTATGATCAAAAAACCCTCTAAAAAGCCGTTTCTCTTTTTCCCCTTTTCCCTGAAATCAAAATGATTCAATTGATTCTCGCAATGAAAGAAAAATGAAAGAAACTTTACACTTTTCACCCCAACGCAAATCGACTCAAAAACAAAGGGAAAGGGAGGAAGAGAGAGCTTTCATTAGAGACATCGCCAAATCTTCCAAACAAACACGTTTACAAGCTAGATCCGCGTTTTGGGGATTCAAAAATCGAAAACTTTTGTTTTTGGATATCACACTACCTGGTGGAAATTAATTATAGGTGAAAAAACGAGAATAAGCTTCGTTGACTTTAGGGAAATTTGTGTTTTTGGGTAAAAGTCCGAAATTCTTATCTCAGCTTGTTATATGCCTTCCAGATCGGCTAAATTTGCACCTAGAGCTGCGTTTGATATAATCTGTACAAAGCTTGGTGCGATATTCGTTTTTCCCAGCTACAAACCTTGGCCGTTTGCTTCAAAGCGGTGTTGCCGGGCACGGTGGCGGCGGCGCCTTTGATCGCTTCCGGTTGCTGAGCCTGGGCGGGCAGTTTACCTAAAATTTAGCTTAGGCTTAGCTTAGGCTTGGTTTTGGCTTGGTTTAGGTTTGGCTCAGGCTTAGGCTTAGGCTTGGACTTAGTGCCAAGGCTAGCGGCTAGCGCCTCGCACTAAGTCTATTTGAATTTGGGCTCAACCCCCATTTTCTGGATCTCGGCCAGTTCTCAGAGCTAAGGAACAAGCAATTGCCTTTGTGCTTTGGTTAGGCTTAGGCTTGGCTTCGACTTAGGCTTAGGCTCAGGCTTGACTGAATCTGAAGGAGTGGTGTTAGCCTAGCTGGGCAGGCACAATTTTGTCTTCAAAACACTTTTCCTGGAGTATTTTTATGCTTAGATCCCGAAAAACAAAACGAGAGCTTGAGAAAAGCCGTACAATTCGAGTTTCGGGGCATCAAAGTGCCGCTTCTTTGGCCAACGAAATTTGGTGCAAGGATTTTTGACTTGTAGATGACTTGCTACACTACCATAACCCAGCCTTGGCCTTCTACCGTACGTCTCGTTCTCTAAAGTTTATCAAAATCTATTGAACTCCAAAAATGTAGCCAATATTCTCAGTTTTTTTTGAAATCAAACTTTAAATTTAAATTTAAATGACTTAAAAGTGCTTTTACAGTCTTTTACAAACCCTCGATTTTTGCCGTTTTTTTTCTGGAGATGCTGGTGGAAATGCTGGTAAAAAAATGTGTAAAATGATTGGTTTTTGCCATTTTTCTATCAGATTCTGGGTCAAGTTGGCTAAAAGAAAACCTTAGCTAGTAATTGAAAACATTCTTTCAGCAGCCAGCTTGCAAAACGAGATTCTAGGGTGAACCTCTACATCACTTTCGGTGCAGAGGCGTTTTTTTTGGAGGACAGGGAAACGGGCATGAGTTATGCCTAAGCCTAAGCCTAGGCATCACTCAAAAACTAGAAGATCTCTTTTAAAATCATTACAATTTTTAGAAACTACAGAATATTAGATAGATTTTTGGATATGAGTTTAATAGGTTTTCGATAAATGCGGCATCATCTACGAGTGAAAAACCAAAAGTCAAATTTCGTTGGCCAAAGAAATCCCCGAAAGAAATCCATTTCGAATCCCCGAAACTCGAGTTGTGCGCCTTTTCTCAAGCTCTCGCTTTGTTTTTCGGGATCTAAGCATAAAAAAAACTCCAGAAAAAGTGGTTTTGAAGACAAAATTGTGCACTTGGATATGAGTTTAATAAGTTTTCGATAAATGCGACATCATCTATAAGTCAAAAACTTCAGGCCAAATTTCGTCGGCCACCCTGTAGATGTTTGTTTGTGGAACTACTTTTGCAAGACGATTAAAATTGCGCTCGCATGTGTGAATTGTGCCATTTGCAAAGAAGTTTCTCCGTTTTGAATGTACTCCGTTTTGGATGTACTCCGTTTTGGATGTACTCCGTTTTGAATGTACTCCGTTTTGAATGTACTCCGTTTTGGTGTACTCCGTTTTGAATGTACTCCGTTTTGGATGTACTCCGTTTTGAATGTACTCCGTTTTGAATGTACTCCGTTTTGGATGTACTCCGTTTTGGATGTACTCCGTTTTGAATGTACTCCGTTTTGGATGTACTCCGTTTTGGATGTACTCCGTTTTGAATGTACTCCGTTTTGAATGTACTCCGTTTTGGATGTACTCCGTTTTGAATGTACTCCGTTTTGGTGTACCCGTTTTGATGTACTCCGTTTTGATGTCTCCGTTTTGGTGTACTCCGTTTTGGTGTTCCGTTTTGAATGTACTCCGTTTTGGATGTACTCCGTTTTGGATGTACTCCGTTTTGAATGTACTCCGTTTTGAATGTATTCCTTTTACGAGTGAAAAACCAAAAGTCAAATTTCGTTGGCCAAAGAAGCGGCACTTCGAATCCCCGAAACTCGAGTTGTACGCCTTTTCTCAAGCTCTCGCTTTGTTTTTTGGAATCTACACATAAAATTATCCCAGAAAAAGTGTTTTGAAGACAAAATTGACAATGACAATGCCAATGAAATCAATGACAAACCTGGTTCCTTTATCGGTTGCTTGACTGAATGGCTGGTCGCTTGTGAGTTCAATGTGGCCTCCTGGGGCTTCGCTGCTGGCCCTTTCGTCAATTGTTGTTGTTGTTGTTGTTGCTGAGGCTAAATTTTCATTTATTTAAATTTCCAGTCATTCTCTTGGTGTATTTAAATGGAAATTTCGTTGTCACAAAGGCATTTACGAGTCGAAGTCAGAAAATTCGAGGGATACCAGAGCAACAAAAAGATTTCATTTAAAATTTCTCTATTCTGGATGTCATACTATTCGTTTAGTTTGAGAAAATCGATTTTTAAAGTATTTAAAATTTTTTGAAAAAACCTGTTGTTGAGCGGTTTTTTGGGCTTGTTGGGCTTGTTGTTGAGCCTGGAAATTTGAATTTTTAAATAAACATTTAAAAAACGAAACAATTTCCTTACTTGTTTCTGTTGCTGTTGTTGCTGGGCAAGAGTTTGAGCCTGTAAATTCGAATTTTTCGCTTTCAACTTTTTTCAACCTTTGCTTGTGCCTCTTGCTGAGCCTTGGCGCGAGCTTCGGCGTCAGCTTTTGCCTGAAAATCGTTTGTTGAATTCGAAATAGATCTGTAAGATTGTAGATTATCCGTGTAAACTATTGATTACTTAATTTTTACACAGTTAGTACGATAAGTACAGCTAAAATCATGAATGTGATCATGTTTCCAATCAGAATGCGGTCAAGCTGGGATCGAATTTGAGTCTTAGCGGGGTCTTAATGGTCGTCTTAACCCCCGCATGCAGCCGTGTCCGAGTGGCTTTCAAGAGCCAGAGCTCACGAGTTCGATCTCGGCCTTGGACCTTTTTTGCTAAATGACAATCTGTCCAGAGTTTCTAAAGTTTCTTCTGAAAATTTGGTCAAGCTGGGATCGAATTTGAGTCTTAGCGGGATCTTAATGGTCGTCTTAACCCCCGGGTTCGCGTGCAGCTATGGCCGAGTGGTAGAGCGTCTGGCTGTCAGGGGCCAGAGCTCACCGGTTCGATCCCGACGCCGGCCTTGGACTTTTCTTTTGCTTTTTTTTAACAAGTGTTGACAGGCTCAGCAAGTTGAGCATCTCTTCTCTGTCAATTTGCAATTCAATAAACTTCTCGTGTTTTGGTCGACCTTTGCTTGCGCTTCTTGCGCTTGCTTCTGAGCAGCTTCTTGACGAGCTTTAGCATCAGCTTGAGCCTGAAAATCAAAAATCAAATGGTTAAAATCTCTGTTGACATGTATTATTCATCGATTTCTAATGAAAATTACATCAAAAGATTAAGAAACTTCTCATTTTTTGACCAACCTTTGCTTGCGCTTCTTGCGCTTGCTTCTGAGCAGCTTCTTGACGAGCTTTAGCATCAGCTTGAGCCTGTAATAAACGATTTGTTTATTAAACTCTCTTTTAAGTTCATTTTCAATTGTATTTAGTTGAGAAGAATGAAATGGCTGTTGAAAATCAAAGAAATTTCGATTTCTTTTCGGTTTATTTTTGGTCATTTCAAGTGTAAATTTTGAAAAATCGATAAATCCAAAAATTTCTAAAGTTTCAGAAACTTCTCATGTTTTGGCCGACCTTTGCTTGCGCTTCTTGCGCTTGCTTCTGTGCAGCTTCCTGACGAGCTTTAGCATCGGCTTGAGACTGAAAGATATCAAAAAATTATCTAACAATGAGTTTCTAACTCTAACAATCTAACCCACCTTTTCCTGTGCCTCTTGTGCCTGTTTCTGTGCAGTTGCTTGTCTGGCTTGTGCCTCGGCTTGTGCTCTTGCTTGGGCCTCTTGCGCTTGCTTCAATGCCGCTTCTTGACGAGCCTTTGCCTCAGCTTGAGCCTGAATTTTGAGTACACTATGATTAAATAGAGAAGAGCATGGTTGATTGTTGATTGCTGATTGCTCTATTGTTGATTGCTGATTGCTCTATTGTTGATTGCTGATTGCTCTATTGTTGATTGCTGACTCTATAACTTTATCCTTTGATCTCTTTGTTCAACTTATTTCTTTAAAAGCTTTCTTTTTTTACAAAAAACCTCTTGTACTCTAGTTATTTTTCAATTAAATTTAAACTTTTTAAAGAAAAACATTTCATGGTCAGCTTTGTGTCAATCAAAATTCGTTTACTCGCTTTTGGATTTCAGTTTTTAGCATTTCTATTAAGAAAATTTTGCTATTAGATGTTTCTAAAAGAGAATCAGAAAATCGAATTCGTTTTGATTCAATTTGAATCGAAATTTCTCAGTCTAAACCAACGCAATCCGATTTTGATAAAATTCCCAAAAGGAAAAGCAGATCTATTCTAAATATTTTCCAAGAATATAATCACATTTATTAGCGGTACATTTCGGTTATACCCCCACCACCCAAACAAATGCTTCGCTACTGAAGTGGCTAATCGGAGTACGAAGACGCTCGTTGACAAGTTTTTGGAATTTATCACCCGGATCGATGATTTGCAGGTTGGTGAAGTTAAAAACCTCTGCGGAACTGGCATTAGGCTAGGCTAAATTCACGCAGACTGTTGTAAGTTTAGCCTAGTCTGATATCAAAGGTCTTTAACGTCAAAAACCTCTGTCGAACTGGCATCAGGCTAAATTCACAACAGTCTCAGTGAATTTAGCCTAGTCTGATGCCAGTTCGGCAGAGGTTTTTGATGTTAAAGACCTCTGCCGAACTGGGCCTGGCCGAACTGGTCAGGCTGAATTCACCCAGACTGTTGTGAGTTCAGCCTAGTCTGTTATCACTTAGGTCAGAGCTTGATATCAGAGGTCTTTAACGTCAAAAACCTCTGCCGAAATGGCATCAGGCTAGGCTAAATTCACAAATACACATATTGATGCATGGGAGGTACCGCATAGTACCGTTTTTTTCAATTTTCGAGTGGCGGAGGTAGCGGGAGTATAACCGAAAAGTGCCTTATTAGCTTTTTTTCAACTTATTAGCTTATTAGCTCCTCACCCTAGCCTGCGCCTCTTGTGCTTGCTTGAGTGCTGCTTCTTGACGAGCTTTGGCTTCTTCTTGCGCCTGAAAAATGGCTTGTAAATAAAAGGGTTTAAGACCAAAAACAAAACAAAGACCAAAAACAACAAATTCTTGCAAAAACCCCTCACTTTTTGTTGGGCTTCTTGTGCTTTTTTCAACGCTTCTTCTTGCTGTTTTTTGACGGCCATTATCCTCTCCTCGGCCGCTTTCCTCTCCGCTTCGGCTTCAGCTTTTGCCTAAAACAAAAATTCGATATAAATCCGGTTACAGGAATCCTAAACAACACGAGAGTAAGCCATTCAGTTTTTGCGAAAAACAATCTACAGTAATTCCCATTCAAACCTCTTGCATTTTCGTCTCGGTGTCGATGGCCTGTTAAGATTTGGGTAAATAATTCAATTTTTAAAGTTAAATGCAAATTTAACGGATCTGGAAGGCACAGCTTTGAATCAAAACAAAAATTCAAAGTCTAGAAGGTTTTGGGTTTTTTGGGTTGACCCCCGAATCGATCGTCTATCAAAATTTTCGTTATATCATGGTAATTTTAAAAGTTAAATGCAAATTTAGCAGATCTGGAAGGCACAGCATTGAATCAAAATAAAAAAGCTAAAGTTTTTCCAAACTAAAAGATCTACAAGTTTTTGGGTTGACGCCGATCGATCGTCTAACAAAATTCTCTCGTTATATAATTGTAATTTCTAAAGTTAAATGCAAATTTAGCAGATCTGGGAGGCACAGCATCGAATTAGAACAAAAATTCAAGGTCTAGAAGTTTTTGGGTTTTTTGGGTTAACGCTCGAGTCGATCGTCTATCAAAATTTTCGTTATATAATGGTAATTTTAAAAGTTAAATGCAAATTTAGCAGATCTGGGAGGCACATAATAACTTGAGAGAATAAAATTTATGATATATGCAAATTTTTGAAATTTCGATTACCTCGGTGGGTTGACGAGCGGCCGCCGCTTGTTGCATGGCCAACGCCTGGGCTGCCTAGAAAGTGATGAGCTTTTTAGATGTAGTGCGTTCCAGATCAAGCTTTCCTTCAATCCCTAGGATTTCCCACTGACCTGTGCCTGTTTCTGGGCCTCCAACAGCTTCTGGCGTTCCTCCAACGCTCGTTTCTCCGCGTCGCTCTTCTCGGTTTGTTGAACGGGCGCAGCTACGGCTTCGGCTAAAAAAATGAAAGGTTTTTGTCAGAAATTTGAATATTTTACCCTGTGTGGTGACTTGTTTGATCTCCTCGACAATTTGCGTTTTCGCTTCTTGCGGCGTTGTGGTTGGAGCAGCCGGCTGAAATGAGAAAATCATTAAAAGAATCAAAGATCCCAGAAAGCGTGCGTTTACAAGAGCACAAAGTACGGGGCAAAGTCCACTCACCTGTCCAGCAATTCGAAACATGGCTCTTCGCGGGGGTGGAGCTGGCTAAACGCTGGTGAAGTTAATGAAGCCGAAAAAATCGTTCCCTTTAGCTATTTTTCAATTTCTCTAAAATCTTTCCCGATTCTGGAGCGCACTTGATCAAATGTTGTTAAAATTTTTCGTAAAAGATCAAAAATGAAATTTGGAAACAAAGGGCGGCACTTTGAAGTGTCTCTGAAAAGGAAAAAGGTAAAAAATTCGAAAAGAATGGTATCCATTTCTTTTCTTTACCTTTTCTTTTTGCCTCTCAATCCCCTCAATCCCAGGTCGATTACCCATCCAAACAAACAAATCCACCGCAATTTCTGGGCAAGAAAAAAAAACGAGAACGGGGTTACAAAAAAAATCTCAAAATTTTTCGATAAAATTTTTTGATAAAATTTTTTTTAAAAATTTAACTTTGAAAACTTTATAAAACTCTACTGTGCGCTCCAGAATATTTAAATTTTAAATTTTAGAAATAAATTCTTAAAAGGAATGCTTTCAAAAACCTCATCATCGCTCTCCTCTTCCTCCTCCGACGAGGAGCCGTTGGCTTTCTCCCAAACTGAAAATGAAATGTTTAATGGCATTCAGATTGATGTTTTTTTTAAAGGAAATTCTCCACTCCTAGATAAGAAAAGCTTTAAATTTAAAGATTTTGATCATCTCGCAAAGGTGCCGTTCTCAGAATGGTTAATTTTTTTTTTTTGATAATTTTCGCCAAGTCTTAACCCCCTTGAAGACTAGACAAATCGCTGAAATGTGTGAAAATTTTCTTAACGATTTGGGGGAATTTGGGTGTAATTTGCATGCTCCCCATCAAAATCTCGATCATTTCTCAGGGATTTGGCTTTCTTTATCACAAAATCAACGAAATGTGTCAGCTGTTGGGTGGAAAGTGATCGAAAATGACGAAGAGAAAGAGAATGTGAGTGAAAGTTTGAGGTAAAAAATGAAAGAGAAGCCGTTTTTTGGACTCTAAAGAAAAAAAGAAGGATAAAGGGGAGACGAGGTAAACAATGTGGGGGCGGAGGAAATGAAAATCGATTCGATAAGTATTTTTGCTTGCAAATAAAAGCGAAATCTGTATCAGGGCTTGCCCAGGGAAATCTTATGCACCATTTCAGTCATTTTTGAAAAAGCGCCAAGCCAAGTCAGGTCAAAAACAACGAAGCTTGGGGACTCGAACCCGTGATAGTCAGATTAAGAGCCTGGTGCTCTACCGACTGAGCTAAACGGGCTAACGGAAACCAGCAGAATAAAGGGTCTCTTAAAAGTCAGTTGAAAAACCATTTGGAAAAAAAGTGGAGTCCGATGAGGGGCTCGAACCCGCGATACTCAGATTAAGAGTCTGGTGCTCTACCGACTGAGCTAACCGGGCTGATGGACACGGCCTGAATAAAGAGGCTCTTAAAGACTCAAGGCCACTCAAAATTGACTTTTTGAACAATATCGCAACTGCAAGATCACTTTGTAACTTTGTAAAATTTGAAATCTTTGAATAAGACCTTTATTCAACAATCAGGTTTATATTTGCTTTAAACGCAAAAAAAGTCTACTATTTGAGCAAGAGCAAGCGATAAAGTGGATAATTTTTGCAACTTATTTACGGGAATGTTCAATTATTCGGTATTCGGCTCTTAACTCCAGTCCCGTAGCTGGAATTTGGATCTTTTTCGCAGAATATTTCAAGCTGGATGTCATTCTATGGGATTACGGTATAAAAACGGCATTTTAGATATTATTGGAATCGAATGAATGATAGCTGAGGGTTTTCTGGGTTACTGTAGCTAAAGTTAGCGTATATTTTGAATGATTCTTTCAATCTGGATGTCACACTATTGGATTACGGTATAAAAACGGCATTTTAGATATTTTTGGAATAGAGTATAGAATGAATGATAGCTGGGGGTTTTCTGGGCTACTAGGCTAAAATTAGCTAATATTTCTAAAGATTCTTCTAATCTGGATGTCACTCTATTGGATTACGATCAAACACGACAAAAATGAGCACGTCCATAGGACTCTCACGGAACTCATTGAGTATTGTAAAAATGAACCCACCCTCAGCTGGCATAATTGAATATGGCTCAAGCGTTGAATCTAGTGCAGAAATGAGATTGAATAGGCAGGGTGAGTTCCAGATCGGCGAGAGATCGAGAGAAAATCGAGAAAAGATCGAGGGGTGAGGAGGGTTTGGCCTGAAGGGGATGAAGAGGAGCTAGATTTGTAACCCTTTGCTTTTTCCGCCTTTCCCTTGCTCCCTTCTCATTTTTGAGTCCCAATACATGACAACAGAGATTCGGCTTTCTCTTTCAAAAGGTGCTTAGACCCCAAATAACCTCCAGAGCACACATTGTAAATTGAGAGGCACTGGAGGAGAGAGGAGGTCAAAAAAAAGTTTTCAATTTGTTTTTAAAAATGACACTTAAAAAGCTATTCAGTTATTTGGGTGCGTTCCAAGATTGGGCTTGGAATGGTTTTTGAATTATTTTGACCATTGTACTGGTCAAAATACAGGTCAAACTATCCTAGAGTCACATTGTAAATCAAGCACTTTTCAGATGTGCTGTTTTCTATTCAAAAAGCTATTCAGCTATCCGTGTGAGTTCCAGGATTGGTCTTGGAATCGTTTTTGAATCATTTTCATCATTGTATTGAACTTAAAAACCATCCTTCAGTCACACTGTAAATCAAGAACTTTCTAGATGTGCTCTTTTCTATTCAAAAAGCTATTCAGCTATCCGTGTGAGTTCCAGGATACAATTTGAACCATTGTATTCATTAGTAAAGTGCAAGCTTTAGGGAAAAAATTATAGTAATCTTATTTTCCCCAGTCATAATTGAAAAACTTTTCAAAAGTTTTGATAAAATAAAAATAAACACGCAAAAATAGAATGTTTGACGGTAGATTTTCATCGAAAATCTCAAAAATTCACTCAAAAACAGAGCAAGCGTTGTACCCAAAATCAAAACGAAAATCAAAATTCTAAAAATCACAAATTGTAAGTAGATTCACAGTGAGAACCCACATTTCATCTCCCGCTACAAAATGAGAAAAAAAATGAGTGAGAGTGACTTTCTTGTCTTGAGACATGGACGGCACAAACGGCAACGCACACTTCAAGACGTGGGCGGAAGGCGTCAACTGTGACACGCAAGTAGGCAACATCCAGCTCGTCCCAGGCTTTAAGGAGCGCTTTCTTTAACGAATCAACTGTTCGATGTGATTTCGCACTTCGCTTTAGCTTCTAGACACAGAAATTCCCATTTGGCGTGACATGAGCCGGATTGATTGTTGAAGGTCACGAATTTTACGGTCATAAAAGTTTGTGCTTTTTTGAGCTGACATTTCTCAGCGGATCCACAACAGATGTGGCTCGAATTTTAAAATGATTTTATTTCATACTCCTACGATATAATATCAAAAAAGAAATAAAAGAAATCTATCATGAAATGAAAATTTACGGGTATGACAAAGTGTCGGACATTTCATAAATGACAATCTAATAAAAAATTCGGTACAAAAGACGCTACAACATTAGACCCAAACAAGCACATATTTGGAAGAAAGTTGAAATTATTTCAAAGCTCAAACAGCAAACATTTCTTTAGATTAAAGTTTTTACAAGTATTAGGTTGAGGAGAACCGAAAATCGAAATCCATAAGACCGGGTATGCGGTTCCCCAAATCTTTGTGCCAATCATGAAAAGCTGTGCATATTTGATTATGATCGTCAAATATATCATTCAGTTGTTCGCTTTAGTTGTTCGCTATTTTGTTGCAATCTCCTCTATATTTGTTTCTCTCAGCATGCATCGCAATTCTTCTCAGTCATGAAAGGCCCTGGGACTCTGGCATGCATCTTCGCGGAAACAGTTTGGTTGCCTGCTATGCCAACTCGGACGTTGGGGTACGTTTAATCAAGCCTATGACAATGACAAGTTCTTCCTTTGACGTAGTAACGTTTGCGTTTTCCTTTTTTGTCTGATTTTCCCGTCGTTTTGCTTTTTTCCCATCAGAATCATTCAGTTTGCCTCATTTCCATTTCAAGAAATAACAATAACATAACATCGATCTGGTCGCTCTTCCCCCACTCTGATAAGCCACACTTTGAACTTTATTTTTTGAATCTTCATTTTGCGAGACCTTGATAAGTTTGTGTTTTTTGCTTTTAGAGCTCTGTCATTGAACGGAAAACAGTGGATGATTTAGATTGGCATGGGAGGGGGAGGAGAGTTTCATCGGATTTTCACAACGAAAGTTATTACTCTTTTCGACCTTTTATTATCATTTATTAAGGAAGTGCTAAAGTACCAAAGGTCTAAACTGAGCCTCAATTAATCTTTCAAAGAAGCGACGTTGCCTAACTCAAGCATTTCCCCAGTAAAATCTTCTCTTGCCTTAAACGAATGTATCCAATCGTGTGCCCGGTGTTGATCCTCAGCACCCACGACGTTTTCCTCGCTGATTTCCCCATCATCGGCCATCATCCGATCGGCAGTCTCCATCGCAAAAGTGCTTCGATGGCAGCAAGGGATTTGAAGCTATTTTAAGCTGCTTTTGTGCTTGTCCGTTTACAATTATAGTCAATTCAAATAAATTTAGCGCTCGAAACTTTGTGCTGGAACGCAAAACAAGCTTTGCGGCTAAATTTTCCTTTTTGAAGAATTCTTCGCCCCGTTCAGGTTAAATACCCGAAAATCTTCGCCGCCCGCAGCTTCAACACCCCAGCGTCTTTTCAATTCTGCTGATAAACCTAACCTTACCTACGAGATAGTGCACTAAAGGTTATTTTGTGGATGAATGGAATGAAGCTTTCTGAAAATTGGAACCACAAAATATGGTTTTGTGTACATTCTACCGTAGACCTTTTGATGGCGAGTTCTAAAACGCGCCCCTTTCGTGTATTTACGGAGACTTTTCGCGATAAATTTCATTCTGGTCAAGTCGTTTAGCATGTGTAGGTACCGTAAATGCTGTAATAGTGCCCATGCCTCTAGTGCCCTAAGGGTAGACTTGCTTATCGATTTTACGGATACAAACGGCATGCTAATGTTTGAACGTTCAGATTTCTGTTTCTAGAACAGCTGTCAACTTTCACTCATTGTAATGGCTGCGGTACCATTGCAATATTTACGATAGCTAGTAGTATTAGTATTTTGCTCAGGGGTTTTTCGTTTCTTATTTAGGGTGTTATCTCTGCTGTAATTTTTCATTTAGGGGAGATGTCGGACAAACCGGAGAGCAGCAAGACTCGACTCGAAGAGTAAGTAGAATGACCTTAAACAGTGAAATTTTCAAATTCAGGCATCTCATCCAGCCATTGTTCCAAAAGGATTTCTTGTCAGAGTTGCCAGAGGAGGTTTGTCTTTTGTTAAAGCTTGTGGGATTAATTGTTTATTTTTAGGTTGCTTATCGCATCATCGCCTATTTGACACCGTGCGATTTGACGGTTTGTGCTGGCGTTTCGCGGACGTGGCAGCGAATTTGTGAAGATGAATGGACCTGGCGACAGAAATGTTGGGAGAAAGGATATGTGAAATTTGATGCCCCAAGGTGTGTTACAGTTTTGATCAAATAATAGAACATTTAAAAATACATATCTGATAGATTTATATTAAACTAGATCTGACACTTCTAAGGTATAGGAAGATACTGTGATTAATTACAAAGCAAATAAAGATGTAAGGAAAGAAAAAAAGACTCACATTGTTTGTTTTTTAGGACGGGCTCACCACATTTATGAATACGGTTAGTAAAGGATTCGTCACAGGCTTGTCACTAACTTCTTGTTGTTCAGTTTTTGTTTTCTCGGAGGTTGGGCGAGGAATCGAGCAAATGAGCGAGCGGGAATCACAATCTTTTCACATATGGACTTTCATGAAGCACATCAGAATCGACGGGAACGCGAGATCGCATATGGACAGTTAGTGCCGCGACTTGTTGAAATTTTGAAAAAAAAAATGAAATTTTTCTAGATGTTATGAGCGATCGTCGTGGAAGTCACTGTACTTGCGGAAAAAGCGAATCATTTCCAATTGGCGATCCCGACCGATTCAATCAAGCACTGTTTTAAAGGTTTGGACAAATGCTTTGGTTATAAAAATGGTTTTTAGGACCGCGATGAACATGTGGTCACTTGTCTACAAATTCACTCTGGTCGTATCGTAGCTGGTTATCATCATGCGTTGCGGGTTTGGAATGTTGATGATGCTCAAGTTTGTTTCGTTTTGCCATTATTGTACGTCTTAATTTAGCCTGTTTTCACTGTAACTGGCCAGATGGGTGTTGTTAAGACGTCTCAAGTGAGCGATGATGGCAAATACATTGTCAGGTTAGTTAATAGGCTCTAGTTAGTGCAATTGATCAGTGTTGCCAAAGAAGCTAACAATTTTCTAGACAAAAATACTTATGAGAACGAAGTCTATTAAAATATTTAAGTGGCTCATCTGATAAAATGGTGCGCGTTTGGTGTGGTCAAACTGGTGCACAGCTTCATGTTCTGCAGGGGCATACGAGGGAAGTGTGGTGCATGAGTCTACATGGTACAACGTGAGTTTTCTAACTTTTGTGCTTTAGCTAAAATGATAATGTTTTAGTCTTGTTTCTGGATCGTGCGATGAAACGCTCCGAGTCTGGGACATTGTCGACGGGAAATGCCTTCACATTTTGACTGGACATTTTGGGCTTGTATTTGTATTGAAGTTATAGCGTAAGCAAAGTTAAATTCCAGGCTTGGTGTGTTCAATTTGATGGAATTCGGGTTGTGGTTCCTGCTGGTGATTTTACTGTAAAGGTTTGTAATGCTTGTTTGTTCAATTTTATAGTATTCTATAAGGTTTGGAATGTGCAGACGGGGGAGTGTTTGCACACGCTGACGGGTCACACCGATTCTGTCGAATCACTTTTGGTGGGTTGAAGTCTCAATTTTTGGCTTTAATCAGGATTCTGTTTTAGTTTGACCCAGAGCGCGATCTTGTGGTGTCGGGTAGTCTTGACGGAACGATTCGCGTCTGGGATATACGAGGAGGAAGTGGGTTTTATTTGTTCGCTATTCTGTTGCAATATCATTTATGTTTGTTTCTTTCAGCATGCATCGCAATTTTTCTCAGTGAGGGAATAGCCTGGGGCTCTGGCATGCAACTTCGTGGAAACATTTTGGTCGGCTGCTATGCCAACTCGAACGTCGGGGTATGTCTAATCAAGCCTAGGACAACTACTTCCTTTTCTTTAGGTTTGGGACATTCGTGACGGTGGTTCATGCATTCATCGCTTACAAGGCCTAAATGGTCACACGTCGCCCATCACTTCATTTCAATGGCTCGACTCGGGACTTTTGGTAACAGCTTGTTACGATGGCTTGGTCAAGCTGTGGGATGTGGATAAAGGTAAGTTGTTCTAAATTACCTGGTAAAGTGGGCTATAAGATAAGCAAATTTATCCAGATTTCAAGTTTTGTTCTAAAGTAGAATTTATTAACTACATAGCTTGGCTCGTTAACTATTCAAGCTTTAATTTATGTTGAATACTAAACTATTCTATTGTTAATTTTTTTCCAATTTCAGGTATTTTCGTTCGTGACCTCGTTCGTCTTGAATCTGGTGGTGGCATTTGGCGTCTCAGAGCCGCCGAAACATTACTCGTCTGTGCAGTTAAATC